CGTGGGTAGTAGCATTGTCAATCGTAAATCAGTAGTGAAACGCACACGAAAAGTTTAAGCTATTGTTACATTTTTGTCGTCGTACGAGAGGAATCAAAGAACAACGGCCAAGAAACATTGACGAATATCTGCCAAGTGCATTGCTATGATTTATTTATTTTGAGCATTTAAGACGTCCGCGGCAGCGAATCGGAAAACTTGGCTTTATGTCGCGTTCGACCTACTTCGCACTTGCTCGCCGTTCGCGCGATTCCTAAAGTTATTGCGGAGACCTCGTCGATACTTTCCTAACAATCTTCTTACTTGTCCCTCGTCGCTCTCGCTCGAGCTGTATCCCCCCGAAACAAACTTTTATAATTCGAGAAAAGCGCAACGAGAGAGAAAAAAAAGAACTATACACCCATGCACAAAAGTGGACGACTTTTGCAGGGCGTTAACTTTTTTGTTCGGCTTACACCAATAATCGGAACCATTGCGAAACTTCAATGAGAAATGAGAAAAAGAAAAGTAACTCGAGCGACCGAGCGCGTGTGTGCGTTCTTGCAATGAACGATACACCTTGACAAACTTAAGACACGAATTGCATTTTGTGTACGAATGGCGATCGAGGACTAGGTCACTTTGATATATTGCTGTGGGTTTGTCACTGTTTGGCACTGAAAATCAAGCCTTTATCAGAGAGTTAGCCTTTGACGCGAGTAATCGATACTTTTGACGACCTTGAAATACGGGCTTTATCATTCGACGAGTCAAACGCGGAATGGATAATGCCTTCAAATGCACATTTCACGCGAATTTCTGCGGCGCGATTTGGCTCGCTCGCACGATTCTCTGATCGATTTCCAATGTGTGTGTGCCATTCGTTTGATATGCCATCCCTTTCCCTCTCTCCTTTTTATGTTTTTACAGGAATTCATATCGCGTGATCATCAATTTTGCGAAATATACGTCAGAGTTTTAATAAAAAAAAAAGAAAAAAGAATGAAAGAAGAAGTCTTTTGTAGGCGCGTACGTTCATAGCGAACCGAGCGCATATCATGTTTGAACTTTATGACGCAATCTTCCTTTTCCTTGCACAACGTGGATATAAATTATAAGTATTTGATGCGTAATAATGTACGATAATTCATAAAATTATAACGAAAGAGAAATGAAATTATTGGATGGAAATAAACGAAAATAGACTGATAAAAATAAAACTTTGAGTGAATTAATCAAATATATATATAAATCCTTTTGCGCGATTGAATGAAGGAAAAAAAATTGGTTTAGTAAAAGCATGACAAACGAAATGTAAGTTATGCGCGAAGCATTTGCATGAGCAAATAAACTAATATATAAAGATGGAAGTGTTTTTATTTTTCCTTTTTCTCGAAAAATACGTATAAACAGGGCGGTTCTCCGAAGTCAATTACACAAGACAAATATTAGAGCAGCTAGTAGTAGCTTGACGATGAAACAGAGAACAAACAACAAGGCGCACTCCTCGAAAGGGAAAACAGATCCTCGGCATTCGCGGATAATTTATCGAGGAGAGCGAGCGAGAGTCGAGGAAAAAGGAGAGCTGTTACTGCATGCTCCTCGTCGTCGGCTGCTACCAGCCAGCGAAAAGCTCTTTTATCTCCGGAGGGCTGATTGGCCATCGCCTCCTCGAGTATTTTCACCTCGAATAAAAATTGAATTTTTCTTGCTGCGGCGTTGAATTGAGCGCTGATTGGCTGCCTCCTATAATCGACACTTCGACTCTCCCTCTTCTTTCTGCGAGTTACCTTTTCAATTTTTGACGATTGGATTTCACATCCAAGTGTAGACGAGTGATTGGCGTTTTTCGTTCAATTATATTCACTTTAGCCTCCTCGAGGAAAAGGTAAGAAACCGTTCGACTTTTTTTTTGTTATCTCGATGCTGTACGATTTGACGTTAGAGCGGTTCGAAATTCCCTATTGATTTTGACGAGGAATGACTACTAGCTCGCACCTATCTCGGCATGGAAATATTCCGATAGAGCAAGCATTTGAATTCCTTATCGTCTTCGTCCGAGGCCCCTATGATATTTACCTTGCCGATGAAATTTTATGCTAATGCTACTAGTACGTGTAGGAAGCGCAGAGCCATTCTCGCGGTCAAACTTGTGTATGTATGTACGTATGTACGTGCGTGCAGTTCTCGAACTAAACGATCTATCAATGAGTGTTATGTGAGTCATTGTCAAGTTTAACGACATGGCCAACACTTGTTCGTCGACTTTTTTTTTTTATATGCATAACCAATGTGTCTAAGAATGATTTTTTATTGCGAAGAAGGTCTTCCGATATGCAGCTTGATTGCCAATCAAAGCCTAGACTCATTATTTTCAATCTAACTGCTTTAATGTGATGTTGTTTTGCTGTTCTCAAAGTTAATATAAAAACAATCAGTATATAAATCAATATGACACGATGATGTCAATCCATAGCTTTTTCTATTAGACGAAAAATATATTGTTGTTTAAAAAATATATGGGTTGCCGTCAAATCGAAAATAAAACAAACTAGGCTAATTGAAAAATATATTAGCTGTATGCATAGTTTCAACCGAATTCAAAAGTAAATATTTCGGTTTTATTTACTCTTCATCGTGATTTCAATCACGAATATCCCCTTTCACTCAGTATAACTAAGAACCCAAATATTTCACGAATCATTTTTTCTCAAAAAAACCTCGAAATAAAACAAAATATTTCCATAAATACGTGCCATAATTAGCGATGTCAAAGTTCACGGAGACTGCAGAGGCAACGAGTTTGAGATTAAACCGGCATAATCATGCAAGCAACACGACAGATGGGTCTATATATATATATAAGGTGTGAACGAACGTTCATCCCTGATCAATGTGTATTCGTGTTTCTCTCATGCTATTGGTTTTCTCACGAATAATTTACCTTTGCTGGGGTGAATGACTCTCCCCTTTTGATTCGGGCGTTAAGTATCGATTGGCCAAACGTCAAAAAATAATTTATTTTCGTTCCTTTTACTTTCATCTGGGTCAAGTTCACGTCACTCTCGCTTTTAGTTAACCTTATTAATCAGTTAGCGTGTATCTAATCTTTTTTGCCTAGGTGCTTTTCCAAAATTAGCTTAGTAATTTAATGTTTAAGGAATCGATGAGAGACAAATTACAATCATAAGATTAGCGTAGCCAAGAAATATTTATAAAATATATTCCAAGTATTTGATCTTACGTCTTACGAATAGTATGAAACGATCAATGTGAAATTGACAGATTATCATTGTTTATAATACTGTGAAATATTATATTAATATCGATGAATCGATGAGAATGGTTGAAAATATTTATTTTCAATGAGGCTTCCATTTCGCTCAAAGCATAAATAAAGTAAGATTACTATTGAAATTCCACAAATATATATCGGTTATTACATTATCTCGATGTATATATGATTTTGGAGCTTATTGCCTGGCAAAAAATTTATGAGGTAAACGTAAAATAATTCACACCATAAGTCACGTATTTGCAAGTAAAATAATGGCTTCATAACAAATACATATCCTTGTCGCATAATCGCGCTGAAGAGACTAGATTTTCACGTTGAAGACACGAGCAAACAACGCTATATGTAGGTATACGTACGACGACAAAAGAGCAGAGGATAACAAGCATCACAATAGTTGATCCAGCCAAGCTAAAAGGCTCGGCAGTTAATCTACCAAGGTTGAAAATAAAAGAGTTTGCTCTTTTAAGTGTAAAGGTCATTACTCTCTATCTGTCTGAGGTTATATATGGCAAAATCCCTTATCGGTCACTATGTACATATACGAATGTCGGCATTGACTCCAGCAGCAGCAGCAGCAGCACAATCGAAGCTCATTCACCTTGCCGTATTATTAGCGTTATGGAACGATACCTACGATGACAGGCTGCGGTCTCGTTATGTTACCCTTCGTACCTTCATTACAATCGATGGATCGCGAACGTTCGTTGGATTAGGGGCTTGCATCAGAGCTTCCTAGTTGGTGCTTTTACCATCAGTTATTGCGCGGGAAATTGACGTTGCTGCCGAAGGGTTTTCATGATTGGAGATTCATCCGAATGGATAGTGCATTGATTTTGATGAGTGCAATTTTGGAACATCATGCGACATTTTTGAGTTTTGTGAACAGTGATGAAAATGACTTTAAATTTTGGATTATGTTTTGATTTAACTATACGGAACGAAATTCGACAATTTTGGTCAAATTCATTTTGCCACAACCTATGCGGCAAAATAAAATAACTTTCATGATTATATGAGAGTGATGTACACTTTGCAATGGGTTTAGTATTATTATATTAATTCAACGCTAAAAAGAATAGAAAAATCTCCAACCCATCTTCAAAACATTGAAAAGTATTGTTCGTGAGCTATTCACGTAAAAGTATTAAAGTAAAGAAGGAAAAATAATAGAAAAGACAATTGTATTATAAACTAGAAGAAAACAGCATACAAACTTAGCTGAGAGTTGATATGCGCAACAGTAACTTACGAGGTGACTTTGTTGAATTTAAAGTTTTAGAAGATCTCATCACGTTACTTTGAAAACATGTGTACAATTTAAAGACTCAGTTGTATACACACACGCGAGCGTGCACGCGCGCACTTTTAAACAAATTAAGCAAATAAAAAATCATAAAATAAGGTATATAAAAATAGTATTAATCTTATTTTACAAGGATAACATAGGAATAATATTGTTTGCATCGAGTTGAAAACAAAATTGAGAAATATCATCTGACTCCATCAATATTAACTATCGATCCAGTGTATAAAGCGTGTTCTCAAGAGAACTGTATCAATCGCGATAAGATGTTCCGCTACGTTACGACGACGCGACGTCCTTCACCGATTACCCTCGCATGGCCTTGCCAAGAGTCACGGGCGCCTTATCTGCCGGCCCAAGTGGGAAAGACTATAAAGCAACGTAGAATCGCGAGTTGCGCCGACACTCTTCGGCGATCTTGTTCACCAGCCACAGCTGCGCGATTCTCCTGTTGAATTATGGCTGTTCTCAGGCTCCTTACCGTTGTCCTGCTTTTGCCCTCGCTAATGGTTTATGCCATGGACTACAATAACTGTGAGTATTTCTTTGACTGCGATTTGGGAAATCCTTTTGTCAATAGCGAGCTATGTTTCGAATCTGATTTTAATTAGAGTTCAAAAAACGACATTTTCGTGGAATGCTATAAGGACGAAAAATATTGATTACACCAATTACAAGGGACATGCGCAGTTTTTTATTATTTTTAGAGCTACGTGGAATATTTTTTTACAACCGATCGTAAAAACGCTGTCAGTAAAATTAATCAGTAGCAGTCGATCGAATCCTCTTCAGGCCTCGTGGCTTATTCATTCGAACAATAGAATTCATCATGTATCCCTTTGAACTCAGGTCACACAACACGCAATAGAGTATCGTGTAATTACACATGTATAATTAACGTTATTAGCGCAGGCCACTGTTTACAACGAGCATGGTATCGATTAATGAAACGCTTAATAATTATTCTCGCTAACAACATGTCGTCTCAATTCTTTATTTCGGACAAGCGAAATTCGCCAATTAGGCGAGAGAGAAAGAGACAGAGAGAGCTTTTGCCGAGCTTGCGTATTTCATTTTCATGCTGCGCTGACTGACCCAGCGCAGGGACAGTGCACGTCACTAGCGCTATTGCTGATGATGACAGCCTCCGCGACCAGACGCGGATATTCCAGTAATTTTCTACATTTAATGTTCGCCAAGAGAGGAAGAAAATTGTCTGACACGGCTTTTACTTCCTCATCGTTAGAGGAGATGATTGATTTAGCACTTGTCAATTGGAGCTCAATCGACCTCTTTCGACAATTAATTTAACTATAAAACCGGCGTTTCGCAGAGTTTTCAAAACCAACAGCCGTACAAAAACACAAGCTTTTGAGCTTGTATATCGCGAGTAAAGTGGAAACATTAACAAGCTCGTTATTAAACATAAGTTGGACAGAACTACTAGCAGAGCGTGGCGCACGCGAATGTCAGCGGTTACGTTAAATTGAGAGAGAAAGAGAGAGGGAGAGCCGCAAGGTGTACATACTAAATTTGGTTAATTAACTTCCGTGTGAGCAACAGCGGCAAAGCTGTACGCTTGCGCATGTACAGTTTTCAAAACCACCGAGTCGTTCGTCATCTCTCGTCTCTATAGATTGCTATCCAAAAAGAAAATATGCTTACGATATCGAAAGCAATCGCGCCGCAGTATAACTGTCAAACAGGGATGACGACGCTGAAAGGAGGGGTAGCGGTACGGCGCGTCGCATAATCCAGACCTGACGCTGCTTTTGACATATCTATTACGAGAGAGAGAGAGAGAGAGAGAGAGAGAGAGTCGACTTGGAAATTCTATAGTGCGGCTCCAATTAATCAGCTAGCGCGTGAAACGCCCTGACAGATCCGGACTCCTCTCTCCCTCACTGTTCGAGGCATTAAATTCGCCCTTTCAATGGCCCTGTCGCCGCTGCCTATCTGCCACCGCAATCCTCTTACGCGCGCGCACTCCGCTCTCTCTCTCTCTCTCTCTCTCTCTCTTCCTCTCTCCCTCTCCTCTATCTCGATGACCCTTTTCTCACTGCCATGCTGCACCTCTTGGCCGAAGAGGCTTCTTTCTCCGGCTTGTAATTTCGTTTTTAAGCTGGATACAAACCATTCCTCGACTGTATAGCTTTCCGACAAGCTTCGATACTTTCTGTACCGAGACCGATGGAAAGTATGTTCAGTTAGTGGACGTTTCAATGGCATAATGGATGTGATACTGGATTTAACGTAACGCTATAGCATTTGTTTTTCCAAACAATTGCAAATGTTATTTTCTATTTTTGTTATTACTGCTATTAATCGACATTCCTTTTATAATGGGAATTCGATTTGCTTTTGACCGTGAAGTGAATGTTACAATTATATTATTGAATAACTGCGACACTTAATTAGAGCAGAATTTCACAGACTTCGATTTCAAATCGAAAGTTGTAATCTGATTAAACATGCTTAAGTGATTTTGATTTCCTCTGCCGGTAATTAAATCACTTTTAACAACCGATCAGCTTATTTAATCTCATTTTAGGAATAGTCCGTTCATGAAGAATACAAAAGGTCACTGTTACCTTAAAGCGAAAGCTTTGACACAATATATATTTCTCGTTTTTTAGCTTTAAAAAACCTTTCTAAATAATTATTTCTTCGATCTATACCTTTAAATCGTATTGAATTCCTATCAGAGTAACCGCAAACTGTTGTTCTCTCACACAAAAAAAGAACATCCGATGGGTAGCAAGAGGAAAATGAGTTTACGTAACTACGCGGACTCGTTAAAACTACGCTACGTCGAACCAATCCTACGTGAAAATACTCAGGATTCTGGGACTAGTTTTTTTGTACCTTTGCGATTATCTCGGTGTTAGGAATCCGAGAGGACAACTCTTGTGTCGATTCTCCTCTCTTTACTATAGAGACTAACGCATGAGCCGATTAGCTCGGAAGCGTTTGACCGATCGACAGTGAGAGAGAGAGAGAGAGAGAGATAGCTATTCCTTACTCAAAGGCCTTTGATCAGTAACGCGTTCTTCTTTTTTAACAGTTCCTCTCCTTCTCTCTCTCTCTCTCTCCCTCTCTAGCCCTGTCATTCTCCGAAATAATTAATAATAGCCGAAATAATTAATCAATGCATAACTCCTTTTGCTGCAGATACGTAGCTTAAGTAGCTTTTAATTAGTACTGAAAGTCGACTTTTTTCTAGACGAGTTAACGAGATTAGGCAGAGCCGTTTTTTCTTTACCAGGTATGATTTTAACGAAATTCAAAATAGTAACATTCTCACTATGACTTTTCGTGTCGATCCTGAAAACTGTTCCTGTGAATTTTAACATATAGAATGTAAAAATATTACATTCAAGATGATGATGTGAACTGAAATTTTTCTTTTTTGATTGCTGGATATCGGCTGACCAAATTATGTCTTACTACTTATCATTTGGATTAGAGTTGATGAAAATTTTAAATTCTTAAAGTTATTATTTTAGTTAGTAAATTATTCAGACTTAGACAATGATAGAACATATGACACTATTTGTAATTACTATAAAAATTAACCACTATAGTAATTCATGTACAATGTATTACATACGATGCTATCTACATTAAGCAAACACTTTCAAAATGCAGATCGATAACGTCAACATGAAGACACTCACTTGTACCTACACGCCTATATTAAAAAGTTAAGCTTGTAAAAAGGCCACGGGTGCAGCAACCAATAGAGTAAGGCAGAACGAAGTAGACGAATACCGGGTTTACTTCGTAAGTCAGATAATTTTTCGCATGACAGAATTCGATCGAACGGCAGCGACAGGGAATTTAAAAAGACTTATCTACGTCAAATGGAATCCCAAAACCTTGAAAAATTTCACATTGATCACTTTAATTTAATGCGTAACACTCACATAACTAAAACGTTATTATTTTCTTTTGTCCAATTGCAATCGCGTTTCAAGAAACCAAAAAAAAGATACTAAATAAAACATTGTTCCTCGGTTTTACTATAAATCATGATAGAACACGGCAATGAATAAAATTACGACGAGACATTCGGTCATGGTAGTAGTAGTAACGCACGGCGAGATTAAACGGTGATAGCCTATGCAGCAGCAGCACACAACTCCATCGGGGGCTGGGTCACCAAGCTTCGTCATTATCCCGCTGAAATCGCCATTGTGCTGCTCCATAACGGGTCGCTAGATGTATTCGTGTGGCCTCTGCAATACGTTAATTATCGGCAGGAGAGGGAGAGGGGAGGTGGGAGGCAGTCGATAGCATCGTCGATTCTGCAGATTATTCCGGCGGACCGCAACCGACTCGCTTGCGCGCCTTAATTAACGCCCCTGGACCGAACTCCGTTCTCTTGTAATCCGAATAATTGAAACGTAATCATGAGAACGATGAAGAACTAAAGTGCTTCTACGTTTCCAATCGGTCAACCTATCCCACTGTGGTTTCCTATTAATCGCTCAGCCGAAATTTATTTTCTTGCTACAACCGAACGCGTAGTACAGATGTTTATTCACAATACAGTCTTGCCCGATACGATTGCGCTCGAGTGCAAAGGCATAATAGAAAGATATCGCTGAAAGAAAAATTACTCTACGAATTACTCCGCCAGAATATTTCGGTTTCCTTGGTTTAAATTCAGCCTTGCGTACACCTGTGCTCGCCCATTGTTCGTAAAAGTACAAAACAGTTTTTCAATAAAAAAAGAGGAATGAAGGGTCTTGCGATACGTCATGTTTTTTCTGAATGCCTTGGTGGAAAGAGGTGCACAGAACCGACGGCGTAATAGGAACGTTTATCCAGAGCAATTAAACGTGCGCGACTGCTTTCAACGCCCTTTTTTGAAATGTTAATTTCTAGCTGAAAAATCAAAATCCTCAAAGTCTCAAAGGGCCACAAAGAGATTTACATAGAGAGGCTAGCACTCGGGAGGCTCGGATTTCCCTCTCGGTGAATCCTTCATACTCGACCGATGCTCTTTGACACATGCGACCTTTACCCGTAGCAGTAGAACGCGAGCCAAATAGTCAAAACGAACGCTGATGCTTTTTCCGATGAGAATAGGCGACTGCGATTCTTTCTTTTATTCTTTTCTTTTTATTGATATCCTTTCTACGTTTTTTGCCGCTAACAGTGGCGGATGTGGCATGCGGCCAAACGATTAAAAAGCAGCCACGTATTGCTGGCGGCGAGACGGCTTTGCCCGGGGAGTTTCCGTGGCTGGTGAGCATTGGCATCAAAGCTGGACATATCTGCGGCGGTACTATTGTTAATAAGAGATTCATCCTTACTGCTGCACACTGCTTCTGTGGGTAAGCATTTGAAAATATACTGACAATTAATGTCTTATTTCATATGCATTGCGAGACTTATAAAGAAGATTGGATTTATGTAAGTCTGCATTATTCGGAAAATCTAGACTACATTTGAAGACATGAAAATAAGTTTTGAACATGTAAAATGAGTGGAGAAGTCATTTTGCGAGTGGAGTAGTGATTTGAACCTTCATTCTTGAAAATAGAAAATATAAAAAGAAATTTAACAAGTTTTGAAAGTGTGGAAAAGAATTTTCTATTATATATTTATGTTCAATAATTGTTAACATTCTACAATCATTAACATTATGCAGATGCTTTTAAGCCAATTTTACAATAATAAATATTGAATTTTTCCATTAATCATTGATATTTTATCATAAATTCATGGACGAAGTTGATTAAAGTAGTTTTAAATTAAATTTAAACTTTTGAGCTACTTGCACGTCGTAGAACCATAAAATACAAATTCTCATAAAACTTAGATAGCTAATCAATCAAAGCACGTCGTTTGCGCGACAGACACGCGGGGGGAGGTATTTATTGGGTTATTGGGGGCATTTAATTGCGTAGATGGGATCCAGTGAACGTGTATAGGCTTCCGAACGACTGTAATAAAAATAGGCTGTAGGCAATATTTTCAATATACCGAGAGCCTTTTGAAACAAATTGAACGAATATGAATTAAAAACTACTCAAAGCCATGTGTAATAATAAACGATCTCTTCTGCGCGTGTGATTGACGGTTTCACTCAAGTTTATTTTTTTCGCTTGTTTGTTATTTGACGTATAACGAAATGAAATTTCACTTTTCAAATATTGCTATAAAATGATTTGTCAATATTTTATTTTATTATTTTTTCGTACGTCACTCGCGCATAAAACTTTAAAGCTGTCACGCACAAAGTTATTTCTTGACATTTCAATGTAACGCAAATTTTGAAAAAAGTATTTTTAAATGGATTTTTGCGGGTTATTTATTTTCGTGGGAATATTGAAAATAGAGCCTCAAACTATACCGCGAGCAAAAAAAATTTCTTTTATAAACTATTTCAGCGAAACGAAGGAAATTTCAATTTGTAGCTACATTGACGAGTTAATAAATTGCCGAGTGAATATAAAAGATAATATTGATGAAATTGTTGGATGCAAATTCAAATATAATACGAAACGACCTTGCAAAATAATCAATTCCGTCGGATGTTGGAAAAAACACGCATGCAATTATTTTAAAAGCTGGGCGCATAAGCAAATACCAATAAATGAATTTTCATCTTGGAAAATACACCAGTTTCCAAATCCACTATGGAAATTCGAGCGATTCAGCGTGCGAGATAACCACAAAGTTAAAAAGAAAATCTAACGTACCGAATAGATTATCGAAAATTCTGGGGTATGCGGCAGCTGCGCGCACATACGTAACGTCGAAATGCACGAATAACGTATATCCCTCGAAAACGCTCGCTTCTTCCTAAACAAAATACGATCGGCACACTAAATTTCTCGTCAATTGGACTCTGTGCAAAAAATTTCCACGTATACGTCGGTTGCATTTACATCACGAAATGTCGATCGTCGAAAATCAATTGAATTTAAGATTAAACGCGTTCGGACGACGTGTGGATTATGCTGTGCACGTTTGAAAAAAAAATTTAAAAAAATAAAAGCGAGAAAAACAAAACAAACAAGAAAGAATCGCTGACCTGAATGCCTCATTTGCAAAACTCATCAGCTTATAGCAAGAAACGCGTATAACAATTACGTTGCTTTCGGAAAGCGCGCGCGGCGATTAATTTCCGTGCTGTGACGCAGCATACACGTATGATTAAACGCGAGCTAAAACCCTCGGCAGCGCTATTCGCATCGCCATCGTCGTCGACGCAAAACCCAGTTCTCGTACAACGGCCGCTGACCAATGCGCGTGGCTATGTACACATCTACACCATTTCCACTCTCGCACACAATGGACTTTGCCAAGTGCTACACTCTATTTCTACGAGCTTTTTTTTTGACTGTTGTCGGTGTGTTAGTTTTGAGCATTATTCGAATGCATTCTCGTGCGTTGATTGAATTTTTTTTCACGATAACGTGGTTTATCTATATGAATTTGGGTCGCTAACTTTTAGTGGGAAATTCTTCCGATGGTAGGTTTTTTGAACAAAAAATAATGGTTATGGCTCATTTTAATCTTCTTTCATTTTTGTGGCTTGATAGATTTTTATTAATTTTTTTAAAGTGACACTTGCTGTCAAGAAGAAATGATTAAAATATGAATTAAATTTTCAATCGAAGTAAAACACTATAACTAAAAGAAATGTAATAAATGTAACTTCCATATAGTTACCAAAGTAAACTTCACCAACGTCGCCGATCTCGAAAAAGTCATCTTAGCTAAGGAACAAACGTTTCCAGAGTGTCGTGACTATTCACTGAGCGATTAATTAATCGGCTGCGTGAGAAAATCTCGAGAGCAAAGTATAATTGTCTCGGCACTCTCTAACTCCGCACGAAAATGAAGGGCCAAGAGAGAGAATTTAACTCTCGCATTAATTACTCTCTCTCTCTCTCTCAGAGTCCACTTCTGGTGGTGAGTGCACCTTCTGGCTTTTAAATCGTTTTAATATAAAAAACCTCGTTACCTAAAAGCTCTCTCTTTCTCTCGCGGCGATGCGAGCTTCGCTCGTGAAATTATGCGCACCTGATGATACTTGTTTCTTTCGAAGTGCAGCCGCGTGCAGTCAAGCTTTTTAATAGGATTTGCGCGGCACCGCGCTCACGGATTCTTACGAAATGCCACGACGAGAAGCTGCGGTTGCGAATTATTTTTCAGAGAATGCAGCCTTTTGTACAATCAGGCTGGGCACCGTCGCGGCTGTTCCGAAATTGAAATCATTTTTCATATTTCATTTGTCGACGACCGGAGTGAAAAAAAGGGAAATTTTATCATGACAACGGAATCAAGTCAATCAGAGGGATCGCTAAAAATGCATGGAAGTTTCGGAGATGTGAAAAATATAGGTCGGCTGGGAGCATAAAATATTCATGTTTTTCCATTACCGAGGATTCAAGATTTCGCAATGCCGTGGCGAGCGCGTATAAAATAATGTTATTTACAATTCAAAACGAGCGCGTGGATGCATTCAAAGTGCAATTTTCATCGCATGAATATAATGTATTATATCTAAAATAGCAGGAATAAAGTTACTGCGTGCAGTTTACAAGGGATTCGCTTCGTTTTGTTTGCAGACGAAATGGTTTGAAGGAAAAAAGCTTGATACGCGTGACACTCGGCGAATATAACTTGGCGGAACCAGAATATCCCGCTGCTATAGTAGTGGGTATCAAGAAAATTATCGTCCACGAGAATTTTACCTGCGGCAAATACCTGAACGACGTAGTTCTGCTGGAAGTTAGCGAACCGATCGAATGGTCTGAAAGCGTTCAACCAGCTTGTTTACCTTTGGCTGAGGGTTATGTTGGTCACAGTACTTTCACTGGTCAAAGTGCCATTGCTGCTGGCTGGGGATGGCTCGGAGAGAGTCCCGAGCTTATCTGTGAGCATTAATAAGATTTCTTGCTAGATGTTGCGATTTTTCTGTCGAGACTAATGAAAGTAATCCGGTGCTCTAGATAAAAAATCGAAGGTTCTACAAAAAGTCGAAGTGAACGTTGTCGAGGATCAAACTTGTAATGATTGGTACGCTAGTCAAGGAAAAAAAACCCAATTGAAACGCGGACAGATGTGCGCTGGTCACGAGGAAGGTGCACGTGACGCTTGCGGGGTAAGTTTAACATGCTTTTTTTTATCGAAAAACTCAATGTATAACGTAGGAAAGAAAGCGATCTCACTTTTCGCTGGAAAAACGTGACGTTGTAAAGAAAGAATATATAAAACCAAACTATAGTGCAATCTCCCGTCTGTCGTAACACCTCACGCAACTAATAATTTCACTGGTGACAGTAAATCTGTCGTCGTCGCACACCTATTCCGTTTCGTGTAGATAGCACGCGTCGGAACACGGCTCTCTCTCTCTCTCTCTCTCTCTCTCAACTGCAACTATATAACAAACTTTACTTTCGTAAAGTTGTTATAGTGTGAAAAAGAAAAAAACAATGCAGTAGCTAGCCAGTGCGGCAATTAGACAGTAGTAGCACCTCGTAAACTGAAGTCGCGCGCGCTAACAAAAGCCAGTTGAGGCAGCAACAGAAGCAGCAGGACGCGTCAGACATACATACACACGCTGTATTACGCATAATTGGCAATTGCACTGTGAAGCTAACAGTCATTACGAGCTCAAGCGGCCGAATTCCTACGACTAATTGAGAAGCGCGAGTAGTAGGAAGTCCCTTGCATGCACGCCAATTAACATGCTCGATCGATCTATACAGCTAATACACACACTTTATCTAGGTCGCGCGAAGGGAACGGTTTGTATTTTTTTTTGTCGTCGTTAGGAGAGAAGGCAACTCGTTTGCAAGCCAAATGGACACGTTTTTTCTGCTCCGTTTAATTTCCACTCGAACGTGTTGCGTTCAATTTCGCTTGGAGGAGAGGAGGGAGGGAGAGAGCGTGGGTAATCGAGTTGCGCCTCGCTACATCCTTTATTTTTTTCGCAGGCCGACAGTGGTGGTCCGCTCATGCTCAACGATAACGGCGACAGAACCATGGTCATTGGTATTGTCTCATCCGGGATTGGATGTGCTAGGAGAAGGCTGCCTGGAATTTACACGAGGATCTCGGAATTTGTGCCCTGGATTATTGAAAAAGCCAAGTGAATTGACCCTTGAATAGCTCGGTTCCTTTTCAGCTGCTGTTAACGTTCCACCGAAGAATAGTTATTTTGTATGATACTTTGTTTTAATAAGTTATTGTTCAGCTTGTTGTAGTTCAACTACCCTCGAATTGTTATAGAAACATTAACCACGATTGTTTTTATATTTAGGATTTTATGATTAATGAATTAATCTAATCCAAGTAGCGAAATCTTTTTAATTTTATGTGTCAGTGTTAATTTAAATTTAATTGCTCGAAGAGAACATTTTGAAAACTTTGGATCACAAAATTAATCTTCGGTCGATTTTCGAGTATTGATAAGAGCACGGACTGTTTTTCTTTATAATTAACAAGGATTTCCGTTAAAAAATCAGGACGTTATTATCCCACTATCCTTTTAAATGTGATATACCGATATCATCCCTTTAGGTTATGGATTTGTAGGCCAAGAGGAAACGTCTATTCACTGATTCAACAAGCTGAACTACAGGTTGACAAAACTAACAGTCACCTGCCGAGACCTGTTTATATGAACTCTTTGATTATTTGAATTTTTTGAATTCTTTTTATCTTTATTATACTGACGATAGACATTAAAAAGCATTGACTGTGATAAGTGTGAATAGAGAATTTTAAGGATAGTAATTTACCTGTCTTTAGTTTTAATGGTCTAGCCTTATAGCGTTTGAATTGTTGCACGAAAAATATTTATTTTATAAGTGTCTGATTCTGGTGTAAAAGTTTTGTATCTTGTGTTTATTTTCCATCATAAAAATTTTATTGTTATATTATATTATTGCTATATATATCGCACGAATAAAAATTTTCGTCAGAAACATATTCAAGAGATTTTAATGCACGGTGAGATATATGTGGAAACCGACTGCTACGCTACTGACCGACAGTAGTTATACCGACGATAGAATAAACAAGTGAAATAAAGATTTTTAAGAAACCGAAATTTATATATATCTTTTGCACTAATAAATGATAAATGTTACTACTGTATGAAATTGTGTAAAAAATTAACAACTCAAATATACTATGCAAGTAGAAACAATTTTTCAAAACTTTTAACTTAAATACTGCATATATATTTAAACTTTAATAATTGGATTCTTTTCATTCTTCCTGAAAACAAGCGTTTTCCACAATGAAAATTATTAAACAAAAATATCGCTGGTCGTACCTGTCGAAAGGATGAAAAAGAGAGATGATAGATCATATTAAACTCAAGTCATAGAACAGTAAAATGAGACGTCGTCTCACATGTCACACTATATTTCCGTTTTTAGATTTTGGACGTGTTGGCGAGGGGGTGATAGTTTCGTGTATCGTGTAATCTCTGAGCGCGTTGCGTTGGCGGTGGAAGCATCGTTTTATCAGCTAATTAATCTGGACTATCTGGCGGCTTAACGAGGCCGCGAGCTATAAATTCGCCGGTGACTTTATAGCCAAGTGCAATGACAGTTAATTGCCGGCTGCTACTCCCGCGAGTCGCATAAACCCGTCTGCACGCGCGCGAGCTAGCTCGCAGGCGCAAAGGAGAAAGAGAAAGAGAAAGAGAAAGAGAGAGAGAGAGAGAGAGAGAGAGAGAGAGAGGAGGAGGAGGAGGGGAGGAGGAGGAGGAGGAGGAGGAGAGACAGAGGTCCGATAACGATGACGAGGCGAAAGCACAAGTCTTTCGTATGATGCTTATAGCATATATATGCACCTCTATTGCTCACTTCACATTGATGTATAGGCTTGTCTTCTTTGGTATCTACAAATTGACTGCAGAAAGTCTGTATTCCCATGTACCTACTCCATTGTATCCGGGAACTAGACTAGAGTCAAATACTTGATTCTTAGGAAAGTTCATTGTTCTTTATTTTTCTCGCAATTTCCACTCAAATATAAGATATATTGCAGCATAGTAAATAACTAGATTAAACTCTTCTCTGTTTTCTTGGTCTTGGTGGGTTCCATGATACATGAGTATGATCTGTAATTGAAACTATGTTTGTACCACCCATTTGAAGACCTTTCACTGCAGCCTAGTGGAATAAGATAATTAGAAAGTTATTATTTTATATTAGCAAAATTATACCCTATCAAAAATATAACTACCAAACGACCAGGTCCTAATCCTTGTATCCTGACTCTCGCTGTCCTGACACCAAGTGCCAATGCTTTCTGCAAATTGCAAACATATAGTAAGTGACTATGCTCAATGCTCCCTATTGACTTAATTATTATTACAATAATTAACTTACTCCACTCATTGAAATTGCTGTTGTTTGTGCTGCGATATTTGTTCCTTTTTTGGCCGTTTTGAAACCTTCAATACCGCATGATCTGATAATGTGTACTTTTCCTTCATTCAATCATATACATTTGCTTTATTCACTTATATTATAGTTGATTATTTATTAATAATGACATGAAATGATAGTATGTGATAATATGAAATAAATATCTGTGGTATAATGATTATTATACATATGTTTAACAACTTATGACTTGAAAGTAAAAATATTAACAATATAAGAATGGCACTGTTATAGCTTACCTTTAAAGTCTGTGAGAGTTATAATTGTGTTGTTAGGACAACATTTAATATTAAAGATAGGTAACTCTTTAAATGGAATTCCATCGAATAGTCTGTTTGGAGTATTTATGTCAGGAAAGAGATCATTCCTAAAATACAAGTATGTAAGTAAGATAGAGAAGTAGAAAGATGTTATTGTAACAATCTGAACAAATAATGAACTTACTGGTCACCAAGGTTGTCAATTTCAACAGACTGTTCACCAGCAATAGCAAGTTTATTAGGTTTTCCCATTGACATTCTGTAAGTTCTCAAATCTCTCCTTTCTGCACTTGCATTGGAGGTTATGTACAACGATCTAACCAAATAAAGTAAGCTGTCGTTTGGAGTACTCGTCAATCTCGTTACACAGGTGAATGACATTTGTTTTAAAATATTTACAGTAAATCTAATCATTTTTGCGTTGTTAACTAATAGTCTTAACTAAACAGTAACTTATAAAAAATACTGGTGGATGCGGATCTGAAATAGCAGACGAGTTGATTGTGACCGACATGGTCATGGACTCATGGAGTCATGAATAACAATTGCACAGATCGATCGTTGGCCCTCTACAGGTCTGTAAGCGTACACGCGACGTCGCGATCGCGACCCCGCGAGCGACGTTCAGGAAAATATTATTATCGATAGAAGGTAACATACATGAACAACCGGAAAGTGCAAAAAATTTGATCTTCCGACGATACGCATCGTGAAAGTGGGGAAAATCTGTTCTTACCTTTGGCATCTAGCTTGCAGTGAGTTACGAATTCCCCGTGGGGGCTGCAAGTTCTACTTAGTAGTGCGTGACGTAGACGGTATCTAAAATTCACGAGCCTGTCAAGTTGAAAGAAGCACCCATGAGAGAGCGCTTGTCTTTTTTCGTGTAAAAAATTTGCGGGATACAAGCGAGTGATAAATTGGAGAAATGCAATGATAAAACGAAACCCACGGAGGCGGCAGAGCTCGTTCGCTCGGTTCGAAAGCAGCGCGCGCACGCCGATTTCCCCTCGAAATGTTATCCATGCCTCTTTCCGGGAGGAATTCGCCGACCTCGTGCGCGATAGAGGCAGCTCCTTGTGTATAAATTAACGAACGGTAGCTTAGAACTGGCGGGCCCTGCAGCGAAGCCGATAATTCGGTCTCAACTTTCCTCCCGTCGAATTAATCTGCTTTGAATGAGGTTGCGCGAGAAACTTGCCGCGCTAGGCTGGTAAGAAACTTCCGAGACATTGTGCAGTAATAAAGAAAAAAAAAAGGAAAAGAAAAGTTAGCGCGTTGGATAGCTCTTAAGCAACAGAGTTAAAGTAGCAACTATTAAATAGCTCGCTTTCTCGCGCAAGTAGGTATGTCACGGTGTATTACTATTCATGACTTGGCCGAGAATTGGGTTAACATAAAATTTACTGCGCGCGTAGCTCGACGACGACTGCCGTGCGCGCGAGATAGAGACTAGCTTTTGGATTAATTTTGCAAGCTCACTTGGTCGTCGTCGTCGTCTTGCAGGAATCTTTTCATTTATTTATGCGCCTATCTCTCAAGAAGCGAGGGGCAAGTTTTTGAAATTTACGTGTATTATTCCTTTCGCGCTGTCTCTCACTCTCTTTTCATAGCTGCCTCTTCACTGCTTGTAACGAGATTTCCCCGTTTCACTATTTATGTTAATTACGTTGGCTTGACGAGCTTATACGACGACTAAGCCTGAATATGCTTCAAAATTGAAGTTCAGACCCACGGTCATGTGAGTTTTGAATCAAGCAGCATTTTTCGTTTGTCACAGCGATACTTCAATGGCCTGTATTAGATGAATAAACGTGCGAGTTAAAGCTATGCATTGGAGTTACGTAACATTGTGATTACTTGTCCTGGTACCGACGCGATCAAATTTCCTTACTTTCAAATGTCGCGCATATCTTCCCTTTGAATTGATCAATCGCGCGATGAGTCATATTTGCAGAGAACTGAATTTCCATCGCTGGCGAGCGTAGCAAAGAAAGCTGCACCAGACGTGTTTTATTTCCTTATTTTATTTTCGCGGCTCTCGACCAGCCTTTTTTATTTACGCTCAATGCATTAGTTAAAAGCGCGAAAGTGCTCGTCTCTCTCGTTCAGAGGGGGTTTAACGATGTGCGAGGGAGCTATTATTGCCAACACTTTTTTACGGTCGAGATAATATTATCGTATCGCCTATATTTTTTACTTCACGTCAGCGGGAAAAGCTTTATGGAAAGTTTTACTGTATTTCTCTGCTGCCGCCAGGCATCCTTAAAGCCCGTTTACATTTTCGCGTAAACGGCCTCGGAGAAAATTTCGCGATATAAAACATTGAAGGAAAAAAGAACAAAAAAAAGAGAGAGAGAGAGGGGGGCGGCGAGAGAGAGACGAGTAAATAGCAAATTGCCCTAGGGGCTTTAATCGATCAGTCGTTTTACCAGTAGTGCGCCTAGCTTGTAAAAGGAAACTAGTTTTTCCGCTGTTACTGGTAATATTCGTAAATGTGTACTTGACCTTTTACTCTCTAGCAATTCGCTGTTATTTTTTTTAAGTGTACACTGGCTCATATGTTGCCCACGTCAACTATTTCGCGAGCGAATCAAGTTTTTCTTTATGCTTCTTTTCTTTTGCTGTAATAAAGTTGCTATGGGAACGATAATTTAGTGTGCAGGTATAAACATTCGTATTAATGTTTGTCGGTGGCAAGTTACAAATTCCGTCGTCGTCAACATCAAGGGAGATAGAGTAGTGCGTCCCTGCAAAAACAGAAGGTTACCGCACACTCGACTAGAGGTAGCTTCTCTGCACTTAATTGTAGCTCAACAAGCTCGCTCGCGGGCTACTCGCGTAGCCGCTTTCTCTCTCTCTTTCTCTCTCTCCTCTGCTGTACAATTGAATTACAGTCATTTTGCGAAAGCGGATGCAAGTATAGCATAGTGCTAACTCCGTCTGTTTCCCTCTGGCTGAGGCGTGCTTATCCACTTTATTTACCGTTGGACGTTCGGAACAAAAGTGATTCTTTGACCCTCGTTTGACGAGGGTCGTTAAGACGCTAGTCTGTGTACGTGTGTGTGTCCCTAAGGTCTAAGTTGTTAAAAGACAGTCTCTCCTTTTTTTTTATCTACGTCACAGAGAGAAGAACCTCTCATCTGTCAAATGAAATTGCTATATGCGATAGCTATTCGGAAAAGTTTCCCAGCGATTGAATCCATCAAGACCAATAAGCGACGTCGATATGTTAAGGTTAAAAGTATGCAAATCACCGCGATATTAGCTAGCCTGCTGTGCTGCTTTTGATAGCCTTCGTTCTTTTTTATGATAGCGTATATTTAATCCGCTGAAGGAAGAATGTCGCATCATCATACGACGACATCGCCCGATCTTTTGCTTATTACATTTTTTTCTGCCACTCCTTCTTTTTTTTTGCTGTCTCAGCATTAAAAATTCTTAATTTTTCTCAGCGGTTCTCTTAGACATTGCTTTGTCAGGTTGTGTTGATGGATGTTTCATAGCATTTTGAGTATACAGGAGCGGTCCTTGAACGTAAAAATAGTAGAAGAAATCAATGATTTTTCAAGGTTCGTCGAAGTATTATTTCTATATCGTGACCTATTATTTCATAGCTGTATCGTCAATTAAATTTCACGCTAATACCGATTCATTCAATTCTGTTCATTTATGGACAGCAAATTACCTTCCTGCGTCATTCGAATAACCTGTATTTCTTATTATAGCTATGTTGGAATTGCTTTGAAGTAGGTATCAAGGTCACGAAAATATCGTCAGCATTGGTACTTCACGCTGTAATTAAGATGAAAGTACGATCAATAAGTGACATTACATGGTAAAACAATCTATCATAAGTAGCGGAATTTGAGGGTAAGCCAATAAAAATTTCATTAACAAAAATAAGCCATCACGCGTGGCGGCGTGTATGCCTGGCTCGCATAAACAATCGATTTCCTTCTAATACCCGACGTATTAATCACCATATCAAAACTCAATTAGAAGAGGGTTGGGAGTCCCGCAGGAGAGAGGAGAAGGAAGTAGGAAAAGAGGTGGAGGTGTAGCCGATATACCTTTGTGTCCATGTGAAGCGAGCCGCTCTTCCCTTCTCTCTCTCTCTCTCTCTCTCTCTCTCTCTCTCTCTCTCTCTCTCTCTCTCTCTCTACTGCTGAATTTATGGGGGACCACTAACTCTCCCCCTCGCTCTCTGTGCTTTCAACATCTCCCACGATAAATAATTCACACCCGCATTGTATAGTGTGCATCGACTACGCGCACGCGATTATTTACCAAAAGCCTTGTTGAAATGCACAAGCTGTGACAGTTTCCAAGTTTTTATATAAAATATAATATTCACTTGTTATAATTCAGCTGGAGTATATTTTTTATTTAAAATGAGACGATGAGTTCGTCGGTTCGAATTTCAATTCATTTATTTAAGGAACTAAATAAATGTACTAACTTTAATGTGATTGAATTAAAGGAGTACAGTGAGTACGGATCTAGTCAATTGAAAAAATGTTTCGATTGGAGTGTTTCATCTCCGTGTTTTGAAATATTCTTAATCCAATTCATTTACTTTTTGTTCTCTCAAGCTCCGAATAATACTTTTGCAATCGGATATGGTTCTGGAATCATTTTTAACTTACCTCAGAATTGTTTTATTTTTGAATGCAGTAAAAAATTCGGTTTCCACAAGATCACATATTACTTTCAATCACTAATATCTTATTTTCGGAGTTCTGAAGAGTTACGAAATTTGAATCTGAGCTTCCGAACATTTAAAATGCAAATAACTCTAAACTAGAAAAGTCAAGAGCGGTTAGATTGTAGAATAAAATGCTCCGCAATTTATTAATCATTCACTGTGTAGTTATTAGTTGAGGTGACTCAATTAAATTATTCTTTTTTTCTAAAATGAAACTAATGATATAAATATCTTAAACTCAGTTTAGGATATCTTTCCTCAAATATAGCGTCAAGGAACACACTACAAGAACCATCGAAATATCAAAGCTTAGAAATTCTCGATCGATCGACATCCTACCGAGCAAACAAAATAACGTATATACAAATATTTATGTTACTCAATTTACCCACCAGTAGTAGTAATACTTCACGTTCACATACGCACGATAATGATGATAGTAGAGAGCATTGCTTAATAGAATATTTTGAAGAGTGAGAAAAAGTTACTTCTCTCGTTTGCATATGAAAAAAAGAAAAAAGAAAATCCTAAGCACAGCTGTAGTGGTAATGCGGCTGACATCGCGCGTTGTCGCATAATATACATCAGAAAGAGGGGAAGAGAGAGAGAGAGAGAGAGAGAAACGACGACGACCTACATGCGCGCAAAAGCACAATATCGCACCTGCTTACACGTGGCCGCCAACAAAACCACCAGCAACGGCGGCAATAGTATAGCGCACACGGTTTCTCGCTTTTTCTCTTTTTCCCTTCGCGCGCTTGTGGGCGTGTGTTTGCACAACGCCGGCTGGAATTTTACCGTGCACGGGCGC